ATCTATCATCTATCTATCTCCATTCATCCATCCATCCATCCATCTTCTATCATTTATCTATCTTCTACCTACCTACCTTCCATCCATCCATCCATCCATCTATCTTCTATCATTTATCTATCTTCTACCTACCTAGTACCTACCTACCTTCCTTCCTTCCTTCCATCCATCCATCCATCCATCCATCTATTCTGTTTCCCTGAAAATAAGATCTCCCCACATAATAAGCCCAATCGGGCTTTTGAGTGCATGGGCTAAAATAAGCCCTCCCCAAAATATATTGCAACACCGCAGCAGCCAGGAGGTAACCATGCTCGCTGTCTCTTGCACCTCAAAAATAATAGGACCTCCCTGAAAATAAGGCCAAGCGCTTTTTTTAGGGGGGGGAATCAAAAGAAAATAAGACTAGGTCTTATTTTCGAGAAAACACAGTAGACTTATATGCCAGAGGGGAAAACAATTGTCTTTCTTTCCTCATTTCACTTGAAGCATGTGATAATCTAATCAGGCAGTAGGCGTAGCGCGCAGTTCCAAGGAAGGAATCGACGTCTCGGAAAGGAATTAAAATTTCCTCGTATAGCCAAGCGTCTAGTCCTCATTACTGCAGAGACGAGCTTGTAAATAGGTGTAGGGATGGGCAGTTGAGGTCCAAAGCATAACGGCGAAGATGGACTTGAAGGTGATATTGGAAGGCAGGTGGAAGAAATGGTGACGTTATTTAACTCGGGGTGGGGGAGTTCAAAATGCGTCCAGCTGAATTTCCATGACGCTAAGCTTTGAGCATCTTCCGGGGTGTGTGTGTGTGTGTCCTTCTTTGGTGTCCACGCTGTAGGAAAATAAAATTTAAAAACGTGTATGCCCATTTCCACCATCTTTCGCAGTAAGGGGAGTTGGGGGTTGGGGGTTGGAGAGTGAATTAAAAACTGTCATTCAATAGGGTAGAGGGGAGATGGGGGGGCTTGGATTTAGAGCATGTCAGTTCTCAAGATAGCATGGACTGGTATGGAAGTGCATCGGAAAGCGCCAGAAAGGGTCTATTGATGGATGGAGGGATGAGTGGGTGGATGGATGGATGGAAAGGTGGAGGGATGAATGAATAGGTGGAGGAATGGGTGGATGAATGGATGCATGGAGGGAGAGTGGGATGGGTGGGGGAAGGAAGGGAGGGAGAGGTGGATGGGGGAGTGGATGGAGGGATAGCTAAAAGAGGAAACAGAAAGACCACAACAATTGCTTCTTGTCAGCAATCAATACTCAGATAAGCAGGGATTAACACCAGACAAACAAACTCAAAACAATACCCTCAAAACAATCAAGAACACTCTCATCAACGCTGACAGGGCAAGCCAGTAGTATATAAATGAAAGCCAACTCCACTCCCTTCTGGCACTGAAGATGTTACCTAGTTGGGTGATGAAACATCCCTTAAGGAAACCTCCTCCTCCCATTCTCCTCTCCACAAACCCCATTCCCTTCTAGCACCAAGGATGTTACCTAGTTGTGTAATGAATTACGTGCAAGAAAACAACCAGGCTCAGAGAGGGACCCACAGTCCTCCTCATCCTCCCCTCCTTCCTTCTACTACTGAGGATGTTACCTAGTTGGGTTGTGAGTCATCTGCAAGAGAGTCTCCAAGAACCAATGACCCCACAGTTCAATCCTGAGCCACAGATATTCTTTCCTATTTGATGGCATGGTTGTACTTGCTCTCTTGACGTCCACCAGAAGCATCCCCACAACACAGAGAGCTAAACAACCACACCAGAAGTGGTATTCAACCAGTTCTGACAGGTTCTGGAGAAACGGTAGCAGAAACTTTGAGTAGTTCAGAGAACCGGCAAGTAGGCTGGCCACGCCCCTGCTGCCTCCCAGCCGATCTTCTTGTCAGGCCTGCGGCCATCTTTTCTTTTGGATCTTTGGCCTGCCACAATTTCTATTATTTTACTATGCATCTTCTATGGTGGGAAAATGGGAGGGGGGGCATTGGACAGAGTTAGATGATATGTAGCCATAACAAAATTCTTTCTAGAATGCCAAGGTCATCTGTTGTCTCTGCACCTCTGCACCTGACCAGAACTGGATGGGTGGAAGCTGCCAGCATGGCAGTGGGAGATTGGACCATGTGATGGACTTGTGGGTGTGGGGGAAAGATTTTGAACTTTCAACTGGGTGGGAAGCTTTCAGATTTGGGTTTTCCCAGATGTGCCAATATGGCTCTCTTAATCAATTAGAACTTTGAAGAATCCTTTGCCTCGGACTCTGATTTAATTTTGGATGCTATTTGGAACCCTGACATTAACCCGAATCTGAAAGCTTCCCTGAACAGGAGAAGGAAACTGGAAACAGGTTAGTGGGTTGGGGAAGGAATGGGGATTTTGCAGTATCCTTGCTCTACCACGCGCACCAAGCCACGCCCACCAAGC